TGCCTTACTGACATAAATGAATATTTGCACGATATTCTAATTTTTCGAGTTTCACCTGTAAGTGAATGGCTAATTATCAAGAAAGCAGAATTAGCAGAAGAAGGAAGGAAGGGGTGAAAATCTAGATTTTGCAAATTTGAGCCTTGATTTAGCCATTACATATATAATTGTTGTTGTTTTTTAAAAAAAATAATTTCCCCAAATTGTAAAAGCATAATTTGAAATTAAAGATACCTTTGGGTGGAATTGAGTGACTGAATCCATGTAGTTTTATTGGCAACATTATAGAAGTGGTTTACCATTGTCATCTTCTGAGATTTTTTTGACTTTTCAGATTATCCCCAAATCCTTTCATTTAACTAACCTAACACCTGACACTAAGTAGGCTTCTTACTACTTATAGTAAGATAAGATAATATAGTTATATACTACCTATGGGAGATGTCCAGAAAAGTCTTTTTGCACAGAAAAGGCTGGAATAACTAGGATTAATATCACAGTGACCTCAGATTATAACAAAGAGTCCAAAACTGATTCTTTAGGGAGAATGAAGTAGAATATTGGAGGTCAAGCAAAAACCCCTAGCCTAAATAAATCTTCCAGGGAAACAAGTGCTAGGCTCAGATATATTCAGTTAGGTTCTAGGAACACTCAGATGCAAAGAATGTTGCATGCGGTAACAAGATAATGAAAGTGTTAACCACAAGAATGCTAACTAGGGCAGCTAGGAAATAACAAATATTGCTGGGGACTAATAGCTGGCTTCAGATAGTGGCTAGAAGAATGTAATGGCTTCAGATATAGTGTCTATAGCTCTTTGTTTCAGTTCAAAGATGTCATTGTATTTGGACTCATTACCTCATATATCTAACCTTATTACCACATATAAATGCCGTAACCCAGTAAAATAATTAAAAGCACATTAAGTAAATACAGTATTGCAATCTGCATACATCTATAAAAAAGGACTTTAACCCCTCCCTCTTTAAACTTTTCTTTGCCTCTGGTACCGATTAGTAGCTTCAATGAAGGTGTGCTGGTCTCTAGTTTAAACAAACTCAAAAATTCTCCTACAGGAGCTTTCCCAGAAAGAGGATTTCTCAGTAAGTTTATTTGAAATGCCCTTAATGAAACCTAATGTTTAATAACACTTTAAAGTTCTTTGAATTAGGAAGTCAAAAGATTGAATGTCTTTGTTTATACCTTCATAAATGTAATCATTCTTCCTCTGGTGGAAGTTATTCTGGGCCATTTGTAGTTGAAGCCAAATTAGGAAAATGCAATATGATGCTGGTTTGCAACGTAGACAAGTTATTTTGTAAATGTTGTTGTAATTAATAGCTTTTAAACAACCACGCTGACATTTTGGTCAATGATTAAAAAACTATGGTTCTGTCCTCTTCATTCTTCTACTATTAAATGCTTAGCATTCCAACAGTGGTCATGAGAAGTTTCTCACTGAAATTTCAACTCAGATTCTTACG